ATTAAATTCAAATAAAAAAAAAAAAAAAAAAAAAAAAAGAGGAGGATTTCGCGGGAAGACTTTCCCGTTCTCCGGCACGGCTCCATTTTCCCCGTCCACCATGGGCGAAACTTAACCCAAACACAATGCAAGCGCTCAGCCATTCAACCTCCATCCTTCCTCTACAACTTCAGACATACCCCACCAGATCCACCGCTCTCTCCGCCGCTCTCTCCGCCGCCTCCAGCCTCCTCCCTCTCAAGCAAGTCCACGATCGAATCCTCCGCTTCAAATTCGAACGCTCCGACTCTGATTCCCTAGATTCATGGGCTCGCGTCGAAGTTGGGATTTGGGTCAGACCCATTTGTGGAAATGGGGTTGGTTAGAATGTACGCAGGCTGTGGAAGGATAATGGAAGCTCGGTTGGTGTTCGATAAAATGTCTCACAGGGATGCCGTTACTTGGAGCATCATGATTGATGGGTATGAAACTAATGTCGTTGCTCTGCATTTACTAGTGATGATGAATTCGGTAAAATTCATTTGATTTAAAATTTTCTTGCGAAGTTTGAATCCCCTGGCCACATGTAACTTTGTGGGTATTCTTGTATGCCAAATGTGGGAGTTTAGAAGGAGCGAGAGAAGTCTTCACAAAGATGCCAAAGAAAAATGTAATGTCTTGGACAATATGATTAATGCTCTTGCAATGCATGGAGATGCTCGTTCTAGCATCTTCGCTAGCACATCGCCCGCTGTCCAAAATCATGAGACTAACGACAATATGTAACGGATAAAAACGGACAATACGTGCTAGTGGTGGGCTAGGGCTGTTACAGTGGTATTAGAGCTAGTCACCGAACGGTGTGCCAGCGAGAACACTGGGTCTCAAGTGAGGTGGGTCTCAAGTGAGGTGGATTGTGAGATCTTACATCAGTTTGAGAAGGGAACGAAGCATATCTTATAAGGGTGTGGAAACCTCTCCCTAGAAGAGGCGTTTTAAAACCGTGAAGCAACGAAACGTAACGAGCGAAGGCAAGAACTTGGCACTTATATCAAAAATTGGCAAAACATAACGAGCTTGATAAGATTATGAATGAACGTTGCGAGAAACCGTAACGAGTTAAAGTCAAAAACTGTGAGACCGACAATGAGTTTCAGCGATTACATCAAGAGTTGAAGACAAATTGTGTGCTCACTAATTTAGACGAAGGGGAAAAGAACGAATTAGTCCTCTGGCACTGCCCTCATGAATGAAGGGCCACGCATTTGCATGCCTCAAAGGTTTATGGCAGGGAGATCATCACTGGGGACAGAACTAAGCTTCACCATTACAGAGAGGGTTCGTGTTCTTGTAAAGACTACTGGTGACCAATTCACGTAAGTATACAGTCTATTAAATGTTCATCAATTCTCTTGCCAGAAAAAGAAACCATCAAATAGATAGAAGAAACCTGATTCTCTGAAGTTACATTTACAGATAGCATCAACTAACATCTTGATCCTAAAGACACAACACACACAAGGAAACATTTAAACAAAATTTCAAAAGCTTCTCACCAGAGATGAGATGATCTCCTTTCTCCTCATGTTGGAGTCTTAAAATCACGAGTGGCTGTAATAATCTCATGAAACTTGGTTCCAACATCCAAAAACACCCAAACCTCGTTCTTCAGTCTTCTCATGACTTTCATCATCCAATGTTTGAAGAAATCTGCAGCCATCACATTCAAGCTCGAGTTCTCTAACAATGAGCTCTGTCGATACTCAAGAACCCATGTATGAGGATCTAAGTGCACAGCCGAGGCACCCCATTTGTTCTGTACCCAAGAAGTATTCGCCTCTCGAACCAGGTAGCCTATCCCTCCGTCAGACCACTAAGAAACAGAAAGACCAAACAAATCAATGGAGTTTCTTTAAGTTTTCCTGTCCATTGATCAAACTCAACAGGGGTTGTGTTTACCTCTGTAACTCTGCCTGATAGGATTGTGAATGAGCGTTGTGAAAACCCTGTTCGAAGCAATCCAGCAGTCTGCAGAGGCCATCCCCATATGCTCACTGCCTCTGTGGCTGATTTGTACATTGTACACTTTGAACTTAAGAGCATTCCCTCCTGCAATCGAAGAACAAGTTAAGAACACGACTGAAATTATACCCACCCAGAGCCGATTGAATCTACCTGGTCAATTTCCCAATATGAATTCGAGTGACTGCAATTTGAAATCTCCCCATTCATCATCTCCTGCAACACTCTCTGCAAAACCCTAAATTTTCCGTTCAAATCTTCCACGAACTGAGATTTCTTACTCGCAGTTCTAACAATTTCCGCCGACAGCTTCGGTTGAAAAACCGCGGCGATCGCGCATGAAAACCCAGAAGTTGCCGCAAAAATCAAGCAAATAACAAAAATCAACGTCACCAACCGACGGAACTTACTCGAATCTTTTTCCCCTTCCTCAGCTTTAAATCTCGAAGTCAATTTCACTGGAGATTTAAATTTAGGGTAGTTCAAGATCCGAGAGGTACCGGAAGTCGGTGTGGTCAAAATCGAAGGGTTAAAGGAAATTGGAGTGGTTTCCAGATTAGGTCTTGAAGCAGAGAGCTTCGTGAGGGAGCTTTTCTGGACACTGTAAGGCATTAGGTCTAATGTGGCGTTGATACTGTCCAAGCAAATCTTGCAGTTGCAATTCGCGTCTTTCCGGCAGCCAGGGTAGTAACAGCTGTCACGGGCTTCCGATCTCTCATCTTCTTCCCCGGCGACGGTGACGGGGTTGGTGGTGGCGGCGGTGGTGATGGTTGAGTTTGAAGAAGCTGAGGATGAAAGGACCGTTTTCATGGCTTCTTTTTTGGGTTCCGTCTCTCAATGACCAAATTTTCAGCGTGAATGAAAGAGAGAGACTTTAAAATTTATTCCGAGATGAGAGAGATTTGGTTTCGAAATTTGAATTTGCAACGGTCATACATACGATGCCACGTGGGATCTATATCTTTTTTGGCTACCTAGTCAAATATATTTTCCATATTATTTTTATTAAAAGAATATATTAATTATTTTATGCAGTTTCATCTTTACATAATTTAGGAAGTTTATACAAAAACTTCCATATTTATGCTACAAATCACTTGGCTCTCATATTTGATATCCTTATTGTCTTAAATATTTATCTTATTAATCTATTTTTTTACAGATTTACTATTATTTAAATATGGGTGTATTTTTTTCCTTAATTATTTCTCACGTCCTAATCTCCTCCAACTATTTTAAAATCTGTGAGATCCTGCATCATCAATTAGAGACGGGAACGAAACATTTTTTATGATAGTGTGGAGACCTCTCCCTATCAGACATATATTAAAACTGTGAAGCTAACGACAATACATAATGGGTTAAAATAGACAATATCTACTAGGAGCGATCTCGGACTCGGATTGTTATATAAAGTATTAGAGTCAGACACCGGACTGTATACCAATAACGACGTTGGCCCTCAAAGGGTAGATTGTGAGGTCTGACGACGAAACGTAATAGACTAAAATGGACAATATCTGTTATAAACTTATATATGTTCTCCAACAACTCCCATGACATGAGCTCGTCCTTGCGACCACCGCAACCAAGAAAAATCACGAGGGAATTTTTAGCCATTATGAAAAGTATAATTTTTTTTTTTCTTTATCCTAATTTTTTGTTTTCAGCTAATTAAAAAAAAAAACATAATGGGCCAAAAAAAGTAAAATGAAGATAGTTTGGGCTTCAAATAATAACAAGCCATTGACAAAGGTGATACTTTTTGAGAAATTACAGTTTTGTAAATATGGGATCCGAATTTTTACTATTGGGCCCTATTTTTGCTTCATTGGTAAACGGCCCAATCAAGAGTCAACCCTTTTTTAATATCAAAATTTTAATTTTTGTCCGATTATGTTTCAAACCTAGAATAAGTAATAAAACAATATTTTTTATTAACAAATCCTAAAATTATTGTCACCAATACATATATAATCTTATCTTATGATTTTAAATTATTAAATCACAATTTCAAGAACAGATAAAATTACCATTTGATTAATCACAAATCCTTTAACTAATTAATTACATATTATGAAAGACAAAATGGATTATTCTTAATTTCTACTACAAAACTTAATTAAAGGTGGGCCCCACTTGTGTGGGTCAACCTTATTGCAAAAGGCCAACTCATTGTTATAATAAAATTAATTAAAAAAAAAAGATAATGCAACCACTCTTAATAATTTCATCAAGAAAAAAGTCAAAAGTCAAAAGTCAAAAGTAAAATCCTATTTATTTCAACTTATTACTAATCTTTTATTATTTATTTATTTATTTATTTTTTGTCTTTATATGAAACAAATAGTTTCCTGTCATTTCAACCCATTTGACAATCCATGTGCTCAAGATTTTGGCCTTTTTTAAAGCTTCAATTATTACTTTCCACACAAATATTTTTATGCATTTGGATCAATTTAATTGTAAATAATTCCATAATATATATATATATATATATATATATATTATATACATAAAAAAAAAAGAAATAATTATCTGTTGTTAATAATTTTAACAAATAATTAAAAATTATAGGATTTTTTTTTTTTTTTAGCTAATAAAAAGAAAAAATATTTTCAAAGCAAATTAGAAAATGGCCATAGATTTCTGTACAAAGAAAGAGCCTTCAAAATCATATATTATTCGAATAATAAAGAAAAAGGGAGCGAAAAGCATGGGAAGCCCTAATTGGTTAATTAATTAATTAAAAAGTCTCCAAAAATATAATCAGCAGAGCGACAAAGACGACATGTCGAAACCCACCTGCGAGGAGCTAGCCGATCTCCCATACTTCTTAGAAGAAGAGGAAGAAGAAGAAGAAGCCGACATGTCGCTGGACCTCCTCCTAAGCATGAGCCTCATGCCATCAGCAACACGAACGGCAGGGTTAGACTTGAACTTACGGCAAAACGACATATGGGCATTGACAGCTTCTTCCAAGCCCACCAATGGCTTCTTGCTTCGCTTAGCTTCGTCTCTCACAGCTTCAGAACAGAGCCCACATAGCCATTTCCCTTCAAATTTGGCCTTAACTTCACTGATATAGCATTGGGTGCAATCCTCTTTCAGGCCACAGCAGTCGCACGTGACAACAAGCTCAATCTCCATTAAAAAAGCTCGAAGCTTTTGGGCCAATTACACCAAAAGGAAGACGACCCAGAAATGGGATGCCAGAATGGCGAAGTGGGTAAAAGTTGGTTTTTGAAATGGACTTAGTTTTGGGCATCAATGGCGGAAGGACATTTAAAAGGGACAAAGGGGGAGGTCGTTTAAGGTTTTAAATACCAAAATTCCCTATGCTCTTATTATTATATTTTAAATCATATTTATATAAACCAATTAAAACCGTTGACTAAAGTCGTCTCATTACTTGGATTCTCTCTCTCCTACCATATTATAAACCATAATAATTGAGTAATTTAATAATTAACTTGATTACTTTGTTTAAACTAAGTTTTTTGGTCTTTTGGTTTCATTATTGTAGTTCCATGAACTTACCAAATATATATTTTATTGTAGATGTGTGAACGATATTAATCTTAAAATATAAGGTCAATTGATTAATTAGTTAATTTTAGTTATATGTTAATATTTTTTTTTAAATCATAAGAATTACATTGATAATATTTTAAAATTATATAGAGATCAAAATAATATATATTTTACGCCGAACAGATATAATTTAGTCTGGTTGTATATTGAAACTTTATAATATTTAATTATAGCTTAAATGTGTCTATTCCCGTGGTATCTTAGTAAGGAAAATATGGTAGAAATATATACATTGGGTATTGTCTCAAAGGAGATGAAGGGTAGGGTTTGAGCTGGGGATCAATTATTTGATTTTGTGTTTGTTTTTATGTCAATATTTGCTTGAAAATGACCACTAAGTTTGAGTGGTTCAATAGCCACAGATTGGCCTTTAATGGTTGGGATTTAATGGGTGTGATGGACCACGTTCTTGAATCTTGGTCGATTCTGATAATATCTGCTGGTTAAAATATATATCATCAATTCTATGTTGAATGTTCTATTCTCACTGAAGCATGAATAAAGTAGACAGATGTTCACTTGAAGTTAGGTGCAAGAAGCCTATATAGTTGTATTCAGAAAGCATTTATGAAACTGTGCTTTCTTATCATCGAAGATGAAACTTGTTGTAACGACTCATGCCTAGGATTCAGCACCTGAAGGTCCTGACATTCTCCTACATCCCATGCGATATATACATGTTACTTACTCTTTGCCTATGATTCAGCATATGCTTCCTAGGAAAATTAAAAAAAGAGGCTATTCAACATAGAATAGCTTCTAGTAAAACACGTTAATCATGGAGTTCTTGTGATTGAGCCACTGAAAAGAAAGGTACAGCTCATGATCGCTCTCATTCGAATGTGGTAAAATAGACCGACCATATTATTTAAAAGCAAATTAATGATATGATTGTCTTCCCCACCAAGAAATTAGAAGGCTAATGGAATAGGTAGCCATTAAAGTGAGGTTTAGGGGTTGCCTTTACCATGTTTTGCATTAATTTTCTCCCTTGTTTCGAGCAAAATGAAATGAAAATGGATGAGGTGGACGACAGTTGAACATGTTACATTTGTTGTCTTTAGAGATGTCTTGTCACTAATTCCAAACCACTTTCCACTTTCCATCTTTTTGGGACAAAACATCGTGCTACTCCTCCTAATTCTTTGTTCTTTGTTCATTAAACCTAAATAATGTTTTACCCTACCTAACCTACCCCGTTCGAGATACAAACATAGTTTCTTTCCTCGAGTATATCAACTTTGAATAGTATCTTTTGGATATAGTTAATAAGTTTCAGTATGATAATTTTGAGAATACCACGTTACAGTAGAGATATATAAAGAGGTTTATTACCATTTCCAGTAGAGGGACAAGTCTTGTTCAATTTGATTCATTATGGACTTCACTGTTTGTATGAATTCTTTTGGTAATATCAAGTGTCTCGACTTACGTTTGTTTGACGACATAGATCAATTGATACTAGCTAGTCAGGATCTATTTCATTATTGTCACTCATTTATGTTCATATAGGACCACAAGTTAGGTTTGTCGGTGTCGCATGCTCATGCCTTCACGTCTCTTGTTTAACCGTTGGACATGACCACACTTGTCATAATCTTGCCTCTCATAGCTATTAGCTTTATCCAACCAAAACATCACTTTAAATTATTGAAAACTTTACCGAATGCAACTTCTCCTTTGGTATTTATCGTCCCAACTATTTTCAAGCAATTTTTACGAATATTTTTTAAAATTTAACAAGTGAGTTAGGAGGAGATAGCTTTTAGTCGAGGGTACCTGCTTTAACAAGCTAAAATATGTTCGGGTTGACTTTTATAAACACGAGTTTGTGTCTTAATAAACATTCCAACAAAACTTTTTTTTTTTTTTTTGTGTGTGTTTAGTTGTCAGACGCTGACAAAAGGTTTCGAACATCTGTCCTAAAAACATAAATATGTAGGTCTTTTAATGTCCACAAGAATCGAAACGAAACATGTAAATGAGTGGACCGTGAAGGCCCTAAAACAAATGTTGGCGGTCCGGGTAGAGACCAAATGCTTCTGGCCTTTCCTCCCCATGTGACTTTATTGAGAAATAGCTCCCCAAAGGTCACAATTTCACAGAGAAAAGGGAAGAAAATGGCCCCAAATAGATAGCCTTAAAAGAGGCATGTGGGGCTGTTGAAACAGAAAAGTGACCTTTCGATTTGGCTGCAACAATTTGAGATAAACTTGTGAATTTCATCGGTGCTTGTCATGCTCTTGCATCCCGATTCCGACAGCTAAGAACTTATCTCATGAATGTTTCGTCATTAAAGTCGACACTGTAGTGTCTCATTCTTATGTTTGAATGTCACGAGAGCTTGTCCCAAAGATAATACAATTATTGGATAAGTTCTCATTTTGGAACGTTATGACCTGTCCTATATCTTTTACTACAGACAACAAAATTGTGTTTTTAGAAGAAATTATCGAAAATGACCATGAGACTATGCATGCATACTACTTTTTCTTATATACGAAAATCATTTGATCGTCTATCCATACCTAACAAATAAAACCTACGAGTTAATAAAAAAACACATTATTTTGAATGATTAGGGAGTGATTGAGGTTGGGTATCACATTATCCATTATATAACCTAAACTAGACCTAAATGGCACTGTCTTGTGGGGCAATGATTTCTCACATGGCCTCTCCTTTATGCAATGAATATTTAAATGTATGGAATTAGGTGTGGAGTGAGTGAGTTTTGAGAGATACCTTCACATGGGCAACCCACATGCTCTTACCTTCCAACAAAGGCCTTCTCTCAACTGCCCTCCAAATCAATCAATCATTTCTTATTTCTTTAATATTACTTTCTCCAACAAACACTTTTCTCTAAATTTTTAAAATTTTGTTCTTATTATTAAAATTTAATTTTGTTTTGAAAATTTTTTTTATCTTATCGAGTTTGTATTGAAAAAGTGGTATGCCGATGGCTTGTAATATAACAATATACTTTACGCGTAAGTGGTAGATTTCAATTATACCTTTAACATTTTAAGATATCCATTTTGATTTAACTATTTAGAATGGTTCAAAACAATAGATATCGTTCGATCTTTGTTTAAAATAAGAAAGAAGATATAACGTGTCGGGAGGAGAAGAAAAGGTATAATATAATATCTATTCCTACCTAGGGTTCTACCTAAAAAGGAAAAAAGGTGTATTGTATATTGAAACAAAATTTTATTTGAGTTGTTATTGAATAAAATTATGGTCAATCATTTGAGGTTCCACCACCTTTCAACCACAAAAGCTTTTGTATTGTGACCACCAATGCATGAGCGGCCAAAATGGCAAATTCCCCGTGAATTCTGAAGCTATCCTGTTAATTGAATTGGACGTCACACAAACCAATAATAATAATAATAATAAATTTCCATTTCCATCTTTTTGTTCATTTTACTTTCGGCTACATAATACAGTTCCTATATTCTTTTCATGTTGTATTGATATTAAATACCATTAAGTTAACATGATATCGATGTGACACTAATATGAATAGAGTATTTAACGCCTATTATATAATTATTTTTAGCCAACCTACTATTCTAACTAACCATCGCTCTACTGGTTAAGGCGTCAAAATGAGCAGAACTTCGCACTAATTAATGTATACTACTTCTTGTAAAGTTGGAGGTTTAATGGAGCGCTTAATATTCTACAATGGTAGATAAAGTGACATAATAATCAGAGGAGCAATAACGTGCCCGTGTGGGGGGTGGTCTGCCCTGGCTCAATTATTTTTTCCATATATCAATCAAACTTCCATCCCAAAACTGGGGGCACAGATTGGATAAGCGAAGGGAGTTAGGGCCCACCCACGTGGAGAACAAAGTCAGCTCGCCACATGATGGGCTCTATTATGGATTAAGGTGGGCCCATTTAGGGGGTCTTTGTTTCATTGTTAAGAGGCAGCTATCTGACGTGCCCCTTCCTTCACCTCCTAAATCCTAATCATAATCTACCGTCCCTCAATCTTCCCTCAAAGAAGAATTTGCCAATGCTTAAAAGAGTAATTACAGTTTTAGTTAGACTTCAACTCCATGTCAGTGGTCTCTGAGTTTGAGTCTGGGGATTCCTGGGGAAGGAGGCCGAGCAGTGGCAATGGCAACAGTGAACTAAGGTTGCACAGGATTATCAAGGTGGATAGATTATGGAACGAGTCTTTGGTGACGCCGAACAGTTGTGTCAAACCGGCACCAATCAGGCCACCTAGCAGACTCCCTCCGTTTGATATGGACATGAGGGTTGCAAAAAGTGTGGCTTCCATTCCTTCTGGACATAATTTTGCTGCTAGAACAAGAACAGGCATGAAAGACGCCTGCAGGAAAAGAAGAAATTTACTTCACTAAATTCTGCTGAAAATCGATGGCACTCGATTAGGTGCAACATTGTACTAAAGTATATATTACCTGGCCAAGAACCGTTATAATCAACGAATCCCCAATCGCAAACCACTCGTCGCTTATACCCCACTCACGATTTATCCCCGTTACAAGGAGAACCTAGAAAATGATCAGAAAAACATGATAAGCAGATAACAAAGAATGGACCACAAACATGAACAGGTGAAATGTTTCCATCATGTCACAGACCTGGCTCATTCCAAGTGCACTGCCAAAAATGGTGGTTACTAGAAAAATTTTCCTCAGAGGGACTTTCTTAAGAAATCCATTATAAAGCCCAACGCCAAGCAGCGATGCTATTGATGTAACAAGCTTGACACGCCCTAGAAATTCGGGAGTGAATCCAAGTTTATTTGTGCTGAGAAAAGATCAAACCCACGGTTATTCGGATATAATTTTGATGCCGAGAGCAGAAAATCTTTAAAGCGACTAAAATGTGGAAAGGGGATAAAGTTTAGAAAGACAACGGCCATACGTAAAGAAGAACATGGCAGAATCTGATTGTGGTGTTGCCTGCCACAAGAAAATAAATAATGTTGGAAGAAACACATTTCGTTGACTAACAGCATCCCACAATTCAACAACGTGCTGTCTTGAGCTCCCAAGAAAATTATAGCTAGCTGAAGGACGATTTATTCCTCTCACAGGCTGCTCTTTCACAAGAACTGCCACCACAGATGTTATCAATGGCAACAAAGCCGTGACTCCAAAAACAAACCTGAGACACCCAAAGCGATTGTTAGAATTCACAACTCCAAAAACCAAAATTTATTACTAAACTCGTCAAACTGTATCAATTTCTATCCTAAATTTTCAATTTAATCAAATTGCACCCAAACTTAGATAAGCATTACAATTTTAACCTTAAACTTGAAAAGTATTTCAACTTTTATCTTCTGTTAAGGTTTCATTTGAAAAATCGTTAAAAATAAAATACATGTTCATAATCAAACTTAAATTTGTGTCGCACATTATTCTTCAAATTAGTGAGTTTATGAAGATTTTTACATTACATTTTGTTAAAATGAGTGAGTAAATTAGCAGAAATTGAATCAATGATAGAAACTATTACACCTATATAAGTCTAGGGTCCAATAGCTAAGCTAAATGATGATGAGCCATATCAGTCAGCCAGAAACTTAGCGTATGGAATTGAAAGTTAAAGTGTGAAACTTGATTCAACTCAACAAGCTTAGAGCTAAAAAAGTAAAATTTTCCCTCTAAAGTTGTAACATCCACGCATGAAGAAACAGTACCTTACACCATATGCATCCACCAGTGAACCACTAAAGTAGGAACTCACTATTCCACCAAAAGCTGAAGACCCCCAACATAAGGACTGAAGAGATCCTGACATACTTTGGGATTCACCACGAGCCCTCTCAACTACCATGGAATCTACAACCTGTACCAAACTTCCGATGTATCAGAAAAAGAAACCCTAGGTTGCAAATTGTGTAATTATGGCTAATGTACATTGATGAGCCTTTGTCAAGGAGATTGAAGAGAGAGAGATACACAGGACACTATTGAATATTGACATTCTTATACTCACAAGAATAAACATATACTTCACCTAAAATGTAGCTTTTGTTTGTTTTCTCTCTAAGGAAAATGCTACAGTATAGTTTTGCTCATAAAGGTCAAACTTGACCGTTTAGTGGGGGAAATGCCAGCCATTAACATTATACAATCGAGTCAAAGCCCATTCTCCTGATTCTGTCTTACTGGTGAAGAAAAGGGAAAGGCTGGAGAGCAATGTGGCCGTTGAAAGTTGAGAAGACTCTCATCCAGTAAAAGTGAGCAAATTGACATGTAGTAAAAAGGTGCACCAAACTTTCTCCATTTCTATACGTAGAACACACCAGTTTGGAGAGGAGACGAGCCATGGGACTTTCTTGAGCAAGGCGTCAGCTGTACTGATGCATCCATGACTAAGTTTCCAAATGAAAATTCTCACAAGGGCCTTTCCCTAAGATGGGGTAAAGATCTTTGTGCAGGATATGGCCACTAGGTGATAATTTTTTAGTAAGGGAATTTGCCGCATAGGATCCTTTTGTATCCAAGATCTAATTCCATTGATCATCTATGTTGGGACTTGTTGCCGGAGCCCAAATCCCATGAAGCATTTTTCCCATTTCATAAATGGTTGTCTTTTCAAATGATAAAGCATATAGTCTTGGGAAGGCGGCTTTAAGAGGCGAGGGATACTGTCTTTTATGATTTATGATAAAACATATGCAGGCAGAGGCGAGGGATACTGTGTCAGATGACAAATTGATGCCCAAGAACTCTGATTTTTTATGATTTATGCCAAGGCCCAAAGCTTCTTCGGGGATGTAAGCATATCTTTATTTCAAGATGAGAGGATGCTGTCATCTGCAAACTGCCGGTAGTTAATGGAGAGAATCCCATCACCAACCTCAAAACCCTTTATGGAACTTCTTTTAGGTTCTTGAGATAACATGACTAGAAATTAGCCACAATTGTAAAGAGGAAAAGGGAGAGGGGATCACTGTGGCAATGACCCCTCGAGTCTATGATCTTACCCCTTGGTTCTCTGTCGAGGATGATAGAACAATTTTCCGTAGAGATACAACCCCGGATCAATCTTCTCCACTTTGGGTCAAACCCTTTAGCAGTCACTAACTCGCCAAGAAAGTCTCGATCAACCATGTCAACGTCCTTCTCAATTATAGCGCCGACATCATCTTCATGCCTTTTGGTTGATAAGTGTTAGTCTGAATGATGGTGGGGTCGGACCCTATTTTTACTAAGCCTTTCGCTAGGGGCATAGGAATGACTTTGTATTCGAGCAAGAAATCCATCCTTAACACGATGTCGAAGTCGTCCATCTTAACTATCACAAAATCAATTTTTCCAGTTCAAGTCCCCCGCTTGATCAAAGTTCTCTTTCAACTTTCCAACTCCTGAGATAGGTAGGGGTACTGAATTGATGGATTTCATCCTTCCTGTGTCTCTGATGCCAGTTTTGTTTGATCTTAGTTCTTCTTTGGCTCAAGATTGGATTGATCCCTTGAAATTCCTCTTGCACATGAATTCAGTTTTTCATTTGTTAGGCTGGTTTTCTCGACTTTTATACAGCCGAAGGTTGCTCAGTTCCATTCTCTTAATACATCCTTTAGTGCTTTGAGTTTCTGTATAACACCGTGACCAGACCATCCTGTCAAATGGTTGTTTTACCACCAATTCTCAAAATACTGGTAATGGATCCACCCAGATGTTTCGAACTTATAATCTCCAAGCCCCCATCTTTGAGAACCAAGAGTAAGGAGAAACAGGCAGTGGTCTGATGTAGTGTGGGGGAGCCTCTCCACCAAAGCAGCGTTGAATTTTTCAATGCAAGGGCCGGTAATGAGAAATCAGTCAATAAGAGCATGGAATGCCTATTCATGGAAATTAGACCAAACATATTTACCATTTGATAGGGGAGGACCAACAAGGGCAGAATCATCAATAAACTTATTGAAAAGTCTCACACTCTTGGTGCTTCACTTGCCATTATATTTCTCCTCCTAAAGTCCAGTGATCCAAACATAAATGGAAGAGATCATAGAGTTCTGTCCATAAGGTTGCTCTGTCGGTAGCTTTTAAGAGCCTCTACACGCCTGTTAACTAGAACATATAGCTACCGGGGAGAACAAGATCAAAAATGAGATTATGAGTACCTTCAATGACTTCTATAACCTTCATGGATGAATCGTTCCATAAGATGATAATAACATCAGTTCTTCTAAAAGCATCGAAAGCAACCCAAGCAATATGCCTAGAACTACATAGCGTTTCCATAAGACTGCCTATTCACACTGCTTCATTTAGTCTCTTGAGGATAAAAACGGTGGCGTTGGTCTTGATAAGAAGGCATTTGATATGGGCTCTTTTAATCTTAGAGTCAAGGCCTCAAACGTTCCAAGAGAGCACAATTATGAGGGTTCATTCGAACCGTCTATGGCAAGGGAGGGGGGAGATGTCAAAATTCACAATGGAGGTGTGATTCTTCAACTCCCTTACTACATTATTGGTCAGACAACAAATTTCCCCTTCTCAAGTTTCATAAATAAGTAATTAATATAGTAAAAAAAAGATGAGATCTTCCATGGTTTGTGGTTGTGAATCGAGTTCTTCCATAGCATTTTCAGCTAAAGCTTTTAACAGACGTATGAGGGAAAAATCATTGATTGTCCTAAAAGGTCACAACATTATTTTTCTAAAAATAATTTGAATAATTTAATGAAGTTCACTAAAAGTAAAAAATAGTATTAAAAAAACAAGTCATTTATTATGATATCAAATAAAAATTAAACTTCACAAAATGAGATGAAAACTTGACTTCTTGTGTTGTGCAATGGGAAAATTACATCAACCAGTCATACAAACTACGAGGTGATCAATGATCAAGGTTTGGGAGGACCAACCAAAAGGTGAATAAACTTGAACCTACGTTGTCATGTGATGTCTATTTGGCTAGTGTTGCCATGCCATGATATAAACCAAAATGGAAGAATACTGACCAACGATTTTATATCTTACCAACAGTAACAAACAACAATATCAAAGTTCCAACACTTAAAGTGAAAATTCCATAGACAAGTGAAAGTTTTATAAAAATAATCATTTTTTTTTTTTTAATAACCGGGAATCAGAACTTGAACTTCCCTGTACCCAGAGACACCTGCGCCTGCCTCAAGGCCTGGACTAGGGAGACATCAAGGGCTTTTGGTAAAGTCGAAGGTTCAAACTTGGGACCTCTCAACCGGTATGAGCAAGAGACCCCAAGCCCTTGCCAATGTGCCGCCCCTTGGGGGCTATAAATAATGAATTATTAGGATACCAGCCCTAAATCCTGGTCTCCATAACAATCATTGCTGAAAAGGCACTCTAACGAAAAGAGAGAAAATAAATGCAAAGTAAAAGGCACTTACAACATCTGAGAATGCTACGGAAAGCGATCCAAGGAGTATACAGAAAGCAGCACCATACTTGCTATCGACAAGTGTGGCCATTAAAGTCCACGAAAGTGCACCAAGCAGTCCTGATAAAATCAAGTACGATCTTCTCCGATAACCAAAAAGAGGAACAGAATCACTGCATTCACCCAAAAACTCGTTAGAATTCTTTCTTTCTTTCTTTCTTTTCACGTCTGTGTGAGACTGAGGAAGTTAGATTACAGACTCAGATAAAGAGAAGAAACAAAGAAGAAAGACACTTATACCTGATAAACCCATATAAAGGTTTGACAAGCCACGGAAATGCAGAGAAGCCAGATACTACAGCTGTCTAGTCAATAAATAAAATTTATCAGATACCTAATTACCACAATTTTTGCCTTAATCAAAACAAAATTTTGAAACCAAAGTAACCTTCATACACATAATAAAGACATTAAAAAGGACACAGAAATGATCTACTTCATTGAAATTTACGCCACAAAGGAGAATGTCTATATCGCGCAAAATAAAGATAAGTTATATATGCAAATACTGAGCAGAAAACAAATGTGAAAAGTTAACAATATACAACCATCAGCATGCACCATTAAGGTAGGTCAACATTTCACATCATACATTTGTAGGTAAAACTTAAATATTTATTATCACGGGACTATATAGTATATACCTCTGCAGGATCTAGGTGCAGATCATCCTTTAAGTAAAAACTGACCGCAAGCCTTGCTAGGCCTAAAACCCCTTGAACAAAATAAACCATGGCGACAGCCACATTATCTGGAGATAGGTCCACCCCAAAAATTTTAATGGTGCTCGAGAAATACTTCTTATGAGCAGTACTTTTACCATTATACGGAAGCAATCCTTCTCTGTCATTACCTGGATCATACAGGCAACAAGAAGTAAGATGCATAGTGGATTAAGAATCCCGAAAGGTAAAATGTATCAGTGTCCTGGTTTGAGTACAATATGATGAAAAGCAACCAAATGTAACTTTAACGCGTTCAAGCTCGAGGATCACATCAACGTTGTATATAAAATCTACGACGACCATAGCTCTTCTTCGTCTAATTCATATAGAAATTGATTGAAGGGGTCATCAAAAAGCACAATTCACGATAAAAGAAAATTTTCAATCCAAAGTTATTTAAATCCTTCATCAACCGAAACATAAGTCCATATATGTGATCTGTTAATCAACCTTCGCTGTGCACGCGAGAGATCATCGCCATCCTAAACTCCGGAGATTCTAATTATTTTTGTATATTTTACCTTGCTGTAATTGACACTAATTCTTCTGGAAAAAATGAATTACGAAGCACGATTAATTTCGAAAGCTAAGTAAGATTGCCACTCGAATTGAACCTCTATTTATCCATAGAAACCGCTCAATTAATGAACATTTATATTTCAAAAGCTCTCGCCGTAGATTCCGAAATATCTTTTGTGCTGCACCATGTAACCTATTCTCGGCAACAGAACATAATTAAAAAAACAACCAAACAAACAAACAATTCGTCTTCAAATCTGAAAGTTCCAATTTCCAAAGACACCAATAAATGGTGTACTTCCACAAATTACAACACGAAACAGAACAAAACAATTATAATCTTACCACTCCGAGAATTAGGCAATGACTCGTCATCCACGTCCATTTGCGACATGGGAACGGCGACAGACATGTCGTCTTTAGGACTGTTCCGACAAGGCAGCAGCGACGATGGCGGCTGTCGACTCCGCTTGAAGGCTCCGACGCCGGGAGGAGCCGGCTTCCGGCGTATCTTATAGGAAGTAGGGAAGGACAGAATTGGGTTTTCGAAGCGCGAGATTGAGACTGATTGTATGATGGGTGCGGGTATTAAAATGTAGGCCATGGAGGAATATTTAATCAAGGATACTAATTTGGGTCAGAATCTTAATTGTGATTAATCGAAATGGAAATGACTAAACTGACCCTCTTCTCTCTGCGCCAGGGCGGAGATGTACGACGCGTATCTGGGCGATATCAATTATCGGTTGCCTTTGCGTGGCCGTGGGAGTAGGGCGCCCAAATCTTTCCTATTTTTATTGTGCTTGGAGGATAAAATGGGGTTTTCATATATATATATATATATTTTTTAATAAACCCAAAATATTGGGTTAACCTATAATTTAATTTTTTTTCTAGTTGTGAAATTATTTTTTTCTTAATTATTTATACAAAAATTTATTTATTTCCACTAAAATTTCATAAAACTCAAAATTTTATATATTATTGTCGAGTAAATTTTAAATATATATTATATTAAAAAATATTATAGGAATATAACTGAAATTAATAATTCCGAGGAGACAGTAATATTGAAATATTAAGTTCGCTTCTAAATTTTATTTTAGTTTATATTTTCACTAAGTTGATCACACGAGTTGATCAGTTCTTAAAAAACTGAAAACAATAAAATTCCGAATTTCGCCCTTACAAAATCCGTATTTCCTCAACAGCCCCTCTCTGCAAAACCCCAATTTTTCCAAAACCCTCTGTGATCCCTCATTCTCCACCTCCACCAGCGCCTGAATCCTAACCACCTCCGGGAAATCTATCAGCGCCGCCGGAATTGCCGCCCTCAGTGCTGCCGTGGCTATCCCTCTTCCCCAGTGCTCTGCAGCCACCGCATAACTGATATTCGTTCTGCATTTCTCCTCTGATTCCGGCTTGACCGAAACGTACCCGACGGAATGGCCGTTCAGGCAAATGGACCGCCGCCATGGATGGGGGATCGCGACCTTCTCTAGGTAAGTTAATGCTTCTTCTTTGGAGGTTATTGTGTTCCATCGGAGATAGCGGGTTACTCTGTCATCGCCGGCCCACCTGAGAAAGTCGTCGGCGTCGGAGAGATTGAACGGGCGGACGGAGATTGTCGACGAGTTCATTGGACAATTGTGGTTGAAGGCATTGGAGATAAAAAAAAAAAAAAAAAAAAAATTGTTTGTCCATCGCTCAAATTTCTCATTTGGTCAGCTATGGCGGCTATAAACCTATAAAATTTGCATTTATTTGAACATGAATCAAATAAATTCATAACAAGTTTCTAATTATCCTACCAAAAACAAACCAATCATCAACATACGAGAGATCAATTAAAAATAGTAGACTTGGAGTCCACAGCAAGCAAATCAATTTTGACTCTCTAGAACGAAAATTCCGCCCACCTTCTTCCTCCATTTCACCTCTCTATATAACTCCCCACTGAAATCCCCAGCACAGCAACCAAAAACCTCACAGCCATGGAAATTACTCTCCGGCCACTAGATCTCACTGACATCGACGATTTCATGGTTTGGGCATCGGACGAGAAAGCAGCTCGTTCCTGTTCCTGGGAGCCCTACCAGGATAAATCGGACGCCATAAAGTATATCAACGACCAAGTCCTGTCGCACCCCTGGCACCGGGCCATCTGTGTCGACGGCCGGCCGGTAGGAGCGATTTCGGTGACGGCGAATGAGGCAGCGAGGGACCGGTGCAGGGGAGAGCTAGGGTACGTATTGGGATCCAAATTTTGGGGGAAAGGGATCGGGACGGCGGCGGTGAAATTGGTGGCGGAGAGGATTTTCGTGGAGCGGCCGGAACTGGAGAGGTTGGAGGCGTTGGTGGCTGTGGAGAATTTGGCGTCTCAGAGAGTGTTGGAGAAGGCCGGATTTCAGAGAGAAGGCGTTCTGAGAAAATATGGAGTGATGAAAGGGCAAACTAGGGATTATGTTATGTTTAGTCTTCTTTCTACTGATCTCGAATAATTTAAAATAATTATGAATATTAATAGTTAATCATAAATAATTTAAAATATTAATTATGAATGTATTAGTTTTTTTTTATAATAAAATATGTATTACCTAAAATTTATAAAGTCTAAATAATATATTGATATTGAATAATTAATTTTTTAAAAAATATGTTATATCTTTATTGTCCTATGTGGATAAAAATTTCAGGAAGAAATTCAATGATAATGTAATTTTAAAAATAAATTGTAAAATTAGGGTAGTTTTTAAAATAAATAAATAATTGGAACACGTGGCGTTTTAGAAAATGGTTTCCCGAATTATTTTCAAATTTTACTGGGCCAAGACTAAAGGCCCAATATATTTTCAGTTTTTTCTGGGCTAAGACCAAAGGCCCAATACTAAAGACTTGAAATTACAAAACTAGCCTCAAAATTCAATTACAATTAGAACCGAAAAGGAAAAAGCTACTGCACTGCTAATGGATCCTCTCTCAGCTCTCAGAGACTTCACCATTAGAGGCGAGCTCGACAAAATCGTCCGCGTCAACGACGAGTTCCGTTTCGCCTCCGACTATTCCTTCCCTTGCGCCGCCGAAACCGCTTACCGCTCCAAACAGGGCAGTCTTTACACACTCGAAACCCTCGTCTATTACATCAAAAATCACCATGTCAAGCACACAGAGTATCTTCAGAACGCTCGCACGCAGGGAGTTACTTCGGTTACTTTCCCGGACCGGAAGCCTTTGCTTGATTATCTTACCGGCAAGGTCTCCTCCTCCGACGCCATTGAGCTTCTTGTCCACCAAAATCCCAAGTTTCCCGATTTGCCCTCTGCGAATGAGTATCGCCCTGAAAACCCAGTGGTTGTTGGCGCAGCCATCGATGCGGTCGATGAGGACGACGGTTTAAAGGATTCTACCAATGTGAATTATATGGCGATGATTTCGGCTATTGAGAGACCGTTGAAGGACAGAGAATCGTTGTTGGAATGTAAGAATAGGAATTTCTACAACGTGCTTGTGGCGTCGACGAAGCGCGAGGAGGAGAGGCAGCGTCTTGAATCGCAGCAGAGGAAGGATGGTTTGGTTGCTAAGAGTAGGTTAATGGGATCCGATGACAGGGGTTTGGTGGGGTATGGTGATGATTTGGGTTATGATGCGAATCCGAAACCGAAAATGCATTTGAAGGGAGGAAAAATTGGTGAAGGTGTGCCAATAATTCTGGTTCCGAGTGCTTTTCAGACTCTAATCACAATATATAATGTGAAAGAGTTCTTGGAAGATGGTGTTTATATACCCACGGACGTCAAGGTTAAGCAGATGAAAGGGGCGAGGCCTGAATGTGTGACCGTGCAGAAGAAGTTCAGTAGGGATAGAGATAGAGTGGTGACGGCGTACGAGGTTAGGGACAAACCCTCGGCTCTGAAATCAGAGGATTGGGACCGTGTTGTAGCTGTTTTTGTATTGGGAAAGGAATGGCAGTTTAAAGATTGGCCCTATAAGAACCATGTTGAGATTTTCAATAAAAGTAAGTGAACTATTGATCCCAAATGGGTTGTTTTTGTTTCTTAATACTCTTAAGTTTCATAAGATCAAAAGTTAATCTGATGTTTGTGGATTGAATATCTTGCAGTTATTGGATTTTATATGCGATTTGAAGACGACAGTTTGGAATCAGCTAAGAATGTGAAGCAGTGGAATGTTAGAATCATTTCGGTAATCTTCTATGTGCTTATTTCTGTTTGCATAGCCAGCCCCCCCTTGTAGTTAATTCTTCCCTTTTGTTCTTTCGCAACGGCCTCTAGTAATGTAAATAATGTTTCCTTATGCAGATTAGCAAGAACAAGAGGCACCAAGACAGAGCTGCAGCATTGGAGGTGTGGGATAGGCTAGAAGAATTTGTGAGGTCACGGTCGCATTCTTGATGTGAGTTCCATGGTGCACCCCCACCCC